GTTTAGTTAGATGCCACATGCATCGCGAGCATGTCACCCAGGGTCTGCTTAAACCACTCAGTCAGGCCATCCGTCTGAGGGTGGTAAGCAGTACTCATCCGATGTACAATATGGCACTGACGGAAAAGTGCTTGGATCACGTCGGATAGAAATACATGGCCCCAGTCACTGAGGAGCTCGTAAAAAGGGCCATGACACAATACAAACCGATGGAGGATGAAAGATGCGACGTCCTGAGCGGTCGCCGTGGGAAGAGCAGCAGTTTTGGCGTACCGTGTCAGGTGATCTATAGCAACGATAGCCCACTGGTTACCTGCTGTGGTCTATGGCAGTGGTCCATAAAGGTCAATTTCAACGCGATCGAATGGGCGGTCGGGGCATGCAAGCGGCTGTACTGGAGCTGCTCCTGCATTCGGTGGCTGTTTTCGTCGCTGACACTCGTGGCAGCCACGAATAAACTGTCGAACAAAAGTAAACACCCCACGCCAGTAGTACCACTTTCTTAAACGTTCGTAGATCTTGAAGACACCGGCGTGAGCGCATTGCGGGTTGGAGAAATGATGCACAGATTGGAGAGCGCAGTTTTGGGGGAATAACCAGCAGCCACTTCCTGTCGTCTGGTGAGTAATTGCGCCGTACAAGAGGGCACCTCGCACGGTGAAGTGCGAAGTCTGGCGTCGCATTGCTCGAGTGGTGGAAAGTGTCGGTACCCCAAATAAAATGTCTAGAAGCGAAATTATCCATAGATCGTCGTGCTGTGCAGAGGATGTTAAGAGCTGACAGCACGTGTTTTATAGAAGATAGAGAGGCAGCCTCAGTGGACTGTGGTTATCGCGAGAGCGCATCAGCATTGGCATGTTGGCGGCCGGAACTGTACACGATGCGGATGTCATACTCGAAGTCGCAGAGCCCAACGAGCAAGGTGACCTGATGGATCCTTCAGTGATGACAACCAACATAAGGCATGATAGTCTGTAACTACAGCAAATGTGCTGCCATATAAGTATTGGCAAAACTTCACAATCGCCCAAAATATGGCTAAGCACTCTTCTTCGGTAACACTAAAGTTAACCTCAGCCTTGTTGAGTGTTCTGCTGGCGTAGGCAACGACATACTCAGGGGATCCAGGCTTGGGTTGAGCAAGAACTGCACCGAGACCGACACCGCTGGCGTCTCTATGGATCTCAGTTGCAGCCGTGGGATCATAGTGGCGCAATATAGGCGGTGATGTCAGGAGACGGCGAAGAGTGGTAAATGCATGATCACACTCGGAAGACTATGAAGAGATGTCGTTGGCACTGCTTAAAAGTTGAGTCAAAGGGGCAATTATGGAGGCAAAGTTACGCACAAACCGACGAAAGTAGGAGCACAATCCTACGAAGCTGCGTAACTGTTTTACAGTCGTAGGTTTGGGGAATTCAGCGAGAGTGCGTTGTTTAGCCGGGTCGGGAAGAACGCCATCCTTTGATACGACGTGACTGAGAATGGTGAGCTTCCGAGCAGCGAAGTGGCATTTCTTGAGATTCATTTCGAGCTGGACACGTGAGGACATGTTTCAGACGTACAAGATGTGTTGCGAAATCGGGTGCAAAGACGACGATATCGTCAAGGTAGCAGAGGCATATGTTCCATTTCAAACCCCGCTGAACCGAGTCCATCATGCGCTCGAATGTGGCTGGCGCATTGCAGAGGCCGAAGGACATGACACTTAACTCATATAGCCCGCCCGGTGTCACGAAGGCTGTTTTTGGACGATTGGCATCTGCTAAGGGCACCTGCCAATACCTGGAACGCAAATCTAACGACGAAAAAAACTCGGCACCGTGTAAGCAATCAAGGGCGTCATCAATCCTGGGCAAAGAGTATACGTTTTTGCAAGTGATCTTATTTAAGTGCCTGTAATCAAGGCAGAAGCGAATTGTACCATTTTTCTTATTAACAAGAATGACAGGTGATGCCCATGGACTTTGCGAAGGTCGAATAACGTCGCGCTTGAGCATATCGTCAACCTGTTCGGTGATAACCTGATGTTCCGTGGCGGAAACACAGTATGGTCGCTGTCGTATTGGCGCGTTGGAACCTGTGTCAATGTAGTGAAAAAAATTGGGAGTTCGGCCAAGAGTAGGTTGAGCAACATCAAAGGATTCACGAAACTGGTAGGGCAGCTGAAAAAGCTCAGAGTGTTCAGATGGCGATAGTCCGTCCGCGATCAATGAATCGAAAAGTTCAGAAAGTGGTATATTAGAAGGGTTGAGGGCACTAATGGCGTCGTAGTCACCGGAACAATCTCGCGGCATGGTAAAAATTTGTTCTTCATCAATGGCATGCACGTGTCCAAGAGATTCACCTTGAAACAGTTCGACGGGATACGGAAGGGGATTAATGAGGCAAAGAGACTGTTTCCTTCAGAAATGGAGAGGGTTGAATAAGGCAGAAGAAGTGATCTTCTACTAAAGAAGAGGCTTGATGGTTCAAAGAATGCAGCTTCGTCCCTAATGTCGTCACAGAACACGGGGAGCAACACAACTGCTGTCGGAGGAATTTTAGTGCCTTCTTTGATGACGAGTTTGTGTACGGCGGGCTGAATGCGTCTGGTTGCTTGGTCGTAAAATGGGAAGTGTTCAAGTTCCGATCTTGCACAATCAATAACGACATGGTTACGCGATAAAAAATCCCATCCAAGTATGATGTCGTGTGAGCATGACCAAAGGACAATAAACTCAACAGTGTAGTGGTCCTTCGCGATCATCAGTCGGACAGTACAGGCGGCTACAGGCTGAACCGGATCCCCTTTCGCTGTTTGCAAGGACATCATATCAAGAGGCGTCGTCCCTTTACGGAGCTTGGGGCAAAGTTTAGCGTCTATCACGGAAACGGCAGCACCGATATCCACTAGAGCATATGCTCTAGTACCTTCTACAAAGACTTCGACAATATTCGACGGCAATGTCCGAGGACTTGAGCATTTCGACAGCGCAGTTCTTGCCTCCTGAACTGCGGCGGTTAGTTTCTCTCATGTTCAGGAGCTGGCCGATGACGCGTGGGTGACGGGGAGTGACCAGACATAGTACGCGGACATTCCGGTGAAGACGAGCTCGACTGATGATCCGAATTTTCCAGACGATATGGAGAAAAGTCTATGAAGCTGTTCTGTGTCCGGGCCTCTGTGTATCCCGCCACGCAACGATGGCAGATGGGCCAATTATCGCGCATTCTTCAAGTATTGGCGATGAGGGTAGCAGCCCATGCGGCAGAAGGGTGAGTTGAGGCTTTGGTGGCAATGGGAGGAACCCAGGCGGTGGACGGCTGAGTCGGGGCTGAGGTATACGGCAGTCCCTGGAACGGCGGGGGGTGGTGTAGCTGATGCTGCTTTAGTGCCTCAGCGTAAGTAAGAGGTGCAGTGACAGGGGGCTGCTGCAAAGGCACCGACATAGCCTCAGAAATTTGCTCCTGGGCCACATGTCGGAGCATGGGAGCCAATGATGGTGGGCGTCGCAGTGGCTGTTGCTGCGAGAGCTCCTGGCATTGAGCAAAAGGCAGTAGAGAAAGCTGCCGAGCCACTTTCTCTCGCATGAAGTCTTTCATTTGTGTGAGAAGGTTTGTCTGGTCTGTCATGATGTCCTGTGCGGTCACTGGTTGGATTGTCTGAAATGAGCGTCGCGTCTGAGCTCGTTGCCTCCGCAATTCATCATAGCTTTCACACAAAGTCACTACTTCTGCCACAGTGCTAGGAGACTTCGCGAGAAGCATCTGGAAAATGTCATTGTCGTCGCCCTTCATAATGTGCTGTATCTTCGCACTCTCGCTCATGGAAGCATCGGCGCGCCTGCAGAGGTCGATCACATTTTCTACATATGATGTGAAAGTTTCACCTGGCTCCTGTGCCTGTGTGCGCAGACGTTCGGCACGTAGCTTCCATAAGGTAGGGCGACCAAAAACGGCACATATCGCCTCCTTGAAGGCGGACCAATTCGCGAACTCGGTTTCGTGGTTCGTATACCACAGCTTGGCCACGTCGGTGAGATAGAAATTGACAGTGCCCAACTTAGCAGCGTCATCCCACCTGTTGGGTCAACTGACTTTCTCGTATGATGACAGCCAGTCCTCGACGTCCTGGTCTTCGGTGCCTGTAAAGATCGGGGGGTCTCGCTGGTGAAGTGGGCCGGGCAAGTAGCGGCCACGAGATGTACTATTTGTTGTGCAGTGTCAACTTGCATGGTCGACGGCAGAGTGCGGAATCGGAGTTCCAGGGTGTAGGCGATGTGGTTACCCAGCACGATCCACCAAATGTAAAGAGGTTTATTGGGCGAACCAAACGGGCAGGTGGAAGATTCGAGATAGCGACAGAACGAGGAAGATGGAGGAGCTCGAGAGCCGATTTCGTGGTGTCTTACTCTGTGATGTTGCTTGCCGTTCCCTGGTGTTGTCAACATTCCTTCATTATACAATAATTAAAATTACTTTTTGCTATAGGGAGTAATAGCAGTGAGCAATCTCTAGAGCAGTAGAATGTGATCACTTCCGGTCATCTTTAATTTATAGTTAATTGGATTTGAAGAAATTTTTAAAAAGAATCGGAAATGCAATTCAGTCCATTTTTAGAATAATTCCGCCATTTCCGGACAGCATTGATAGAGGGAGGTAGTAGGCTGTCGACCTTGATTGCCATCAGACTAAGCATCTCAACGTCATCACACTTATTGCTGTTGTCACCGTCGTAAGGGTCTTAGTGAGGTGATGCACGCTCTAAAGTTAGTACGTGGTCGCCAAAGTCAACAGAGTTGAATTGAATCTATTTTTGTGTAAGTGTACAATATTACATTTCAGGGGTATACTAATTAATACTTACACTACACCACCAGATCTAAGGCAGACTTCTGTTTTTTTTTTGTTGTTGTTGCCGCACGAGATCGTTGAGGCAATAGTGCCTTGGAAAAATCAGTAACCTGATAGTGTGAGAGAATCGCCGTGTGTTTGCTCTGCCTTTTTTTCTTTTGCAGAAGCACCAACTGTGACCTCTGAAGCGTCGACGCAGGTGAACTTGTCAGCACAGCCGACTGAAGCGAACCTGTATGTCAGCCAATGTAAGTTAGCGACACTTTCGTGTTAATTGCTTTCTTTAACCAAGAAGCTGTTCTTTGTCGAGGCCTTCATGTCCGGAGTCTCTCGTAGATTGGAAACAAGTCTGTGCAACTACTCCCACCACTCAGCACTGCGCGCTATGCTAGGGCTGCCACACCTCCTGCTTCATTAATTATAATATCTGGGGTTTAACGTTTCAAAACCACCGTAGAATTATGAAAGACGCCGTAGTCAAGGAGTAAGGAAATTTTGACCACTTATTTAAGAGGCCCCTAAATCTTGAGTACACAGGCCTCAAACATTTCCATCTTTATCGAAAATGCAATCGCCACGATTTGGATTTGATCCCGTGACCTTAGGGTCAGCAGTTTAACGTGATAACCTCTGGATCATCATGGCAGAGAAGACTCCCGCTTCATTTACCAACTTTATTCCGACTGCTTTATTCCCACTTCAATGCCCATTTCATTCAACCAGCTAAGATAATTGGCGAAGGGACAGCTTCTTTGTAAGCCAACACCATCATTGTTTTGTTAGTGTTTGCTACGCGCAGCTGGCTGAATTTTAAAATGTTGCCTATGGTAGCTTTTTCATGTCCCGTTGCCATTGTATAACAATGTTTACAAAAGGAAGAAAAAAGAGAAAGAAAGAAAACATTTTTTTGACATGTTAGGCGTTTTATCTGTACCACGACGTGGGCCTAATTATTACAATAGGGTCATTCCAAGAAAGACTTTGCAGTCGATGTTGCCTTGAGATGCCGTATTGAGGCCAAGTGTGGTGACATACTTGCGCGTCGCTTGTCGTATGAGAAAGTGCATGTGTCTGAATGGGAAGGATGTACTAAGCCCCGTGCTTCCGCGTGCCAGCACATGCGAAGTTTGATCGCTAATGATATTTCGGTTTATACTGAGAGGTTACGTGCGAGTGACGCTGTGTGCATCCTCTTCATCTTACAAATAATTTAAACGCAACTTGGGAATCCCTACAAACACTCAGTCATACACGCATCCACTCGTGAAACACACACCACACTAATCGCTCGACTACTAACGTGCTACACCACAGAGTGCTACTGCGAAGTTGCGCCAAGTTGAAATATGACCCGTTAACAACTATCCCCAACCGCTTATGGTATGTGACAGTGCAAAAAACTAAAAAAGACAGCAAGGACAAAGAGACTCTCTGTCCATGCTCTGTTCGCGCCGTTTTACGTGATGTTATAAACAGTCGAGTATTGCATGGTCATCGGCTAAAGCCGATGACCATGCAATACTTGACTGTTTGTGGGAATTTTGTGATAACATGCCGGGCTGTGTCACAACTCCCTGAGATGCTCTGAAAGGAACTATTCATTATTGCATTGAAAAATTTGTCCCCTCCAAATATGTTCCCACTAACAACAATAACCCGTGGATGACAAGAGAAATCATTCATTTACGCCGTAGGCTAAAACGAGCCAAAAAACATAAAAACCAGTTAGTGAGATATCTAAATTAAAAGTCAGCTTTGCTTTCAAACTCTCGGACGCAAAAATTAGGTATTTCACTCATTCATTACCTGAATTCGTGACAAAAAGCCGTGAAAAATTCTGGCGATATTTAGAACAAACAGATGCTACGCCAATCAATTAACTGTTGATGGTTCCATTGTAAATGATGCGTCGGTTGTCGCTGATCGGTTTGACAGATACTTCTGCTTTGTATTTTCTGCTCCCCAACATGAATCACCACATGGCAACCTTCTTCCAGTAATGTCTTCCGAGTTCATAACTTATGAGGGTATATTTTCTTTGCTGCTTAACCTGAAAAATAAATCTTCAGCTGGTCCAGATAATATCTCTAACACATTCCTGCGTAAATATGTCGAACTCGTTGTGCACATTTTAACAAACGTTTTTCGCCTCTCCTTCGAAAATTCCTTCATTCCTGATGATTGGCGCATGGCACGTGTAGTACCGGTGTTTAAGAAAGGAGATCGTCTAAACATTGCAAACTACAGGCCTATTTCCTTAACGTGTACGTCATGTAAGCTATTAGAACACATAGTCGCACATTACATCACAACATTTCTTGAAGAAAACAGCCTGCTGTCGCCATTACAGCACGGATTTAGGAAAAATTATCGACCACCACGCAGCTAGTCACAACAATGCATGAGTTTACGTCGTCGCTTAATACGGGGAATCAAACTGATGCTATTTTTTTAAATTTTAGTGAAGCCTTCAATCTTGTCACGCATAGCAAACTCACTTCTAAATTACATATTCTAGGTCTACCTGTTAACCTCATTGACTGGATCCGTTCTTACCTTCACAATCGCAAGCAGTATGTTAAAGTAAATGACTGCATGTCTGGTATTCTACCAGTATCATCTGGAGTTCCTCAAGGTAGTGTTTTGGGACCTATTCTCTTTCTAGTGTATATAAATGACATTGTTAAATCAATAGACACATACAAGTCCACATAAAGATTTTCGCAGATGACTGCATACCTTTAATTTATAACGATTACTGCTTCGAATGACCAGAAATGCCTGCTATCCGACCTTTGTGCCATTTCTAAGTGGTGTCAGATTGGTCAATGAAATTAAATAGCGATAAATCAGTTGTCATGCATATAACAAATAAGAAATGCCATTTTAATTATACGTATTCTCTCAACAACTGTCCATTGACTGAGGTTAACAAATATAAATATTTGGGCGTCACAATTACAAGCCACCTAACATGGTCAAGCCACATTAATAAAACATGCTCATCTGCTTCTAGAAAGCTCGGTTTTTTGAGACACAAATGAAAAACAGCGCCCTCAGAAATCAAAATGTTGGCCTACAATGCTTTTATAAGACCAAAGTTAAATTATGCTAGTGTCGTTTGGGACCCACATATAAAGAAAGATGTTAAGAAGCTTGAGATGGTGCAGCGAAAGGCGGTTCGCTTTATCTTTAATGCCTACCACAGAAGTGACTCGCCAACAACAATCATGGCCATAAATGATATCCCTACTTTACAATACCGAAGAGCTGTTGCCCGGCTGAAATTTCTACTCACTTTATTTCCGTAATTTTAACATTTGTCCGGAAACTTATATAAGAAATCGAATCTCGAGACAAACTTGACATACTGACACTTACACTTTAGAACCTTACTTCGCACGTACTAATCTTTTCATGAACTCATTCTTTCCTCGGACGATCAATGATTGGAACGCGTTACCTTTTGAAGCATTCTGTGATAATGAAAATCCTGACTTCGATAACTATGTATCTTTCCGTTTTTAAAAGTACAACTCAAGATCTCAGACTGTCTCACCTTGTATCTGATTTGCATTCTCCGGTTGCAATTTGTAATTTCTTGCTGCCATTTAACTTTTAATATTATCCTGTGTTCTACTGCCTTAACATGTTTTTATTGCTTGAACTTTCTTCTTATTTAAGTTACATTGTGAATCACTTTTTATTATGCCCCCCTGCTTGGTCATTGGACCGCAGTATTCTGTAAATAAATAAATAAAAAATAAATGCGTTGAAATGAGCCAAGTAGCCAAGCAGAAAATCATCCTTAGCCCAACAACAAGTTTTAATGTGTATTCTCTCTTGGGCCACTACAACTAAAGCTCCTTCGTGACCTATCGTGCTTGCAGGTGCGACACAAAGCTTCCAGGAGACTGAGACCGCGGTGGAGGTGTACGGCGGCCAGGAGTACAGCAGCTCGGAAGCGACCGCTAGCAGTTCGACTGTTGAAATGGTTCCTGTGGTGTCGTACCTGTGCTTTCCTGTGCTCACGTACCAGCCCTGCACCGTAGACACCTCCTCGGCGACCGACTTGCCGATTGAGTCTTCACAACCGTACGACGTGTTGACAGCGACACAGGACTTGTCGCTCATGTACCAGCCCTGCACCGTAGAAACCTTCTCGGCGACCGACTTGCCGATTGAGTCATCACAACCGTACGACGCGTTGACAGCGACGCAGGACTTGTCAAAAGAGGACCGCTGGCAAGTGGGTCAGTTCTGAACACCTGCTGCCGTAATAAGGGCTCGTTCACACCGAAGGGGACACAGCAAAGCAGGCAAGCGGGTTTTTCGAAGCAGCGAGTGTGTGCACCTGGTCTGACTGCCTGCCACCTTCGGCTGGTCGTGTGGCAAAGGAGGCAGGCATCTCGTGCTTTTGTGCACATGTCGCTACGACGTGGCAATGCTTCTCCCTAACGTCACCACTGCCCCTCCGTGGCATGGCATTCTGATAGGCTGCGGCACTGCTCCGGTAGCAATCACACTTTCCTTCATGTTTTTCTCACTTTCCCCTCTTGGAGAGGAGGATTTCTTTTTTCTTCCTTTTTAGCCGCCCCGCCTTCAGTGTGAACGAGTTTACAATGAAGGAGGAGCAGCCGAAGGTGTTTTTCAACACGGAAAGGTCGTGACTGTTCATATTTGTTCAGGCCACATGGCTCGCCTGGCTACGGGCCTGTCCAAACACTACTAGCCCAATCGCAACACACGTGCCGGGACTCCTGCTGCACCCAAGCAGAGGGTGAAAGAGCATTGCAGATTCACTCATTGGCCCCCCGCTTGAATGCGGCAAGTGTCCCAACACGGGCATTGAGGCTGGGCGAGTAGCTCGTGGACATGCTCTGCTCGCGCGGCCCAAGAGGTGGAACATCTAGCACTTTTGCCTATATCGCCGTCACATGGCACCACTTATCCATTCAAACCGTGTGCGTAGATCTCGCGCTGCTTGAGGCTCAAGCGGGTGTTAATGCGAGCGCTGCTGTTGCGAGCGTTCTGATTGGTTACAGTGAAGCGAATACTTTCGGCGAGCGGAAAGAGAATGGTCCTGGAGCGACCCGGCTCACCGCCTTGCTTTCCGCCCGATTTCGCCGCCTCATAAGGAGGCGGCAAAATTGCATACGTTTACCGCTCGTCCTCTTTGGCTGCTCCTGTTTCAGTGCGCACGAGCCTTAATACTCATTCAGTAGCACTTGTTGTATAGTAGTAGTCCGTAGCGCTTAGAGTAGTATAGCAATTTAAGTGCAAGGTCTGTATAAGAACTGTCGAGAAAATTTTATTCCTGATGCCATTGTATGCCACAGCGCGTCCACATCGCGCATGCACTGTTTTGGCAGATGTGACCTTCAAGACAGGCCGTGTGCCAGGCGCCTGCAGGCGTTCGTTCACGCAATATTGTTTTAGTTGACACCTGTAGAGTGACTGTGCAGGTGCATTATGTGGTGAACTATTATACCGTGGCATCGAATTTTGTGTTAGCGTGACGATACTTCACTAATTGGGATAAAAAGTATCGTGAAGATTGCTCAAACCAGGCACCTACAACCCGTATTTGGCACTAGCAGATCATTTTCTATTCCCAGAAGTGAGATCATCCCTCAAAGGACGCTATACCACAGGGCATTAAGTGTCGTAAAAGAAGCTTGTATACATGTGCTCTTAAAGGGCCACTCAACCAGGCTCCACATCAAATTTAAGTTAGACCCTTGAAGTTGTTAGTTGTTGGGTGTCCGATGAGGAACATTTTGCCACAAAAATTCTTTTAATCGGTTCACTACGAGCTGAGAAAAGTTTTTTACAAGCGGTGTGAAACGAGGCTTAGAGGGGGCGAGCTCGAAACCCTTGCCGCTCCTTCGCGTAGCCTTCGCAAGCCAAATGTCTTCCCTACACGATCCGGCATCTGACCAAGAGGTCACGTGCGCATGATGTGCCCGAACAAGCCCAACCCCAGTGCAGATGCGTCAGTCACTGTCACGGCCTCAGTTTTTCGTCGTAGTCGTCTTCTAGCTGCTCCGACTAGATAGTGTCTCTCTCTCTCTTCCCCACTACACTTGCCTCAGTAGTGAAAAGGAGCCATCCCGGTGACTCGCGGTGAAGCAAGCATAAGGGGATCATAGTAACGTTTTAAGCAGCTGATGTGGACTGTGTCACTACCACGGCATCGTCTGTCATTAGCAGGTGTCACTAGTTCAACGACATCATTGACCGGTGATGTGCATTGAACGATGCGGTTTGGACCATTGTACTTGGGTGCAAACTTTTAGGAGAGGCCAGGGGGACTGGAATGGAATCGAAAGCTATATAAATGAGCCTACGGGGAAGCTGTGAGCAGGCTTGTTTTGGTCAAACCATTCGTTTTGGAGACCTTGTGCAACGAATGTAGATGAGCGTGCTAATCGACGGCACTCTTCGGCACACTGAACAAGTTCAGAAGCTGGGCGGTATTCTGAAGCATCTGGGCGGTAAGTAAGTATCGTGTCAGGTGTACAAGAAAACTTACGTCCGTACAGTAGAAAAAAAGGGGAAAACCCAGTAGTTGCTTGCATGGCCGTATTATATGCATATGTCACCAAAGGGAGCACCAAGTCCCAATTAGAATGGTCGGAGGATATGTCCATAGAAAGCATATCGCCGAGCGTGCAGTTAAAGTGCTCCGTGAAACCGTTTGTCTGCCTGCGGGTGATAGCTCGTAGTGGTGCGATTAGTAATACTGCACTCACTGAGAAGCTCCTGGGCGACTTGCGATACAAACGCATACCCACGGTCGCTAAGCAGCTCACGTGGCACGCCATGGCGAAGGACAAAGCTACGCAAGATGAACAAGGCCACATCACGAACAAGGCCACATCAAAAGGCTGGCAAAGCGGCGGTTTCAGTTAACGGGTGAGATGGTCAATGGCCACAATAATCCAGCGATTTCTAGCAGGAGTACAAGGTAGTGGGCCGTAGAGGTCGATGCCGTTTCTATGAAACGGCCGAGCTGGACATGGCAGCGGTTGTAATTCGCCACAGGCATGACAAGTTGCTTTCCGTCGCTGACACGCAGTGCAGGAACATAGGTACTTGCGAACAAACGAGTACATTCCACGCCAGAAAAATCGCTGGTGAAGCCGGTCAGCGTGGGCGTTTTGAGCGCAAATGGCGAGGTATAACAAGAAGCGATTTCCTACCATCCGGCTGATAGTTGTGACGGTACAACATGGCATCTCGAATCGCATAATGGGGAGACTGATTTGGAGTGAGCGCGAAGCCGCAAGGATATTCCTTGCGAGTTTTTTCAGGCTTCGTGCGAAAGGTTTGTTTGTCACTTTAATGTTTTCTTCACAAGTGTCCGGTGTAGACGTGAGTAACCCCTGTGTTCTAGAACGTCCCTTCACTCAACGCTGCACTTTCACTTGAGAAAGCCGGTGGGAGTGCCGTCTCTAGGCACGGCAAGTCACTGCCTATCAACAATAATCCGCTGCGATTCATGAGTAGCCCAGTGTCATTTTCAGCCGAGCAGCGGCGCAGTGCTCAACTCTGTCAAGTGAAGGGTGAAAGTCGAGTCAAGGAGGGTTTGTGAATACAGGGGTAAGAATGTTAGTTCATGAGGTTACACGTATGTTTTAGAAAAGTGGTAACCGCAAGGGAAGTTAATTAGTAGTTCATCTATGCAGTAGTGCTATAGCGTGCATTTGTGGACGTTGTGGTGTACACGTATCCCGAAGGAGTACGGCCACCAGCGTGGGTCCGGTCTTAGCGAGCCGCAGGGCACGCGTTAACCGTCGCCGTGGCGGGAAACACGATACTGCTCAAGTCGCAACTCTTTATTGTGGCAACACCAAACGCAGTACAGCCCGTTGCAAAAAGGCGCGGCGGGAAAGCAAGTAGGCTTATCCACGCCACGGGCACAAAGTACTACACAGGGGTGCCACGAGCACGTCTCCGCGGTAAAAGTGATCCACGGAGACACCGGGACAAAGGGGGCCCGGTTGCTCGAGCGAGGGCAAAGGCGCTCGCGTTGGCTTCGAAGGTAGACGGGTCGGCGTAGCTAGGCCACGCACTAGGACACCGTACTGCCCTTCGGCCGTGAGTACGCAGCGGGGCAACAAAAGGCGAGCGTTCGCATCGGGCGCGAGGCGCCGTCAGCGAAGTCCGACGAGCCCCGAGCGACGGGACTCGACGGACGGAAAAGAATGCGTGGCTCACCGTTTGAAGTCCCGGACTGTACTCACCGCTCCCGACGCAGCGCGCGAAAACCTCTCGGGAGGCTCCCCGCGCGGCGCCACAGTCAACATCCGCTACCGGGTGAGGGAGTTAAACGTCACTCCGCCCTTCCCAGCGCGGCAGACAGCAAAGGAGGGTAGGCATGTCGGGACATGAGAAAAAAGGCGGCAAAGCCCGCGCAAAGGCAGCGGGCCAGCCTCAATTCCCACATCCCCCTCTCCTAAATTTGCCCTTTACCGGTCTGCAAAAAGGCAGCCGGACGTCACCCATGCAGTTAAAATGACACTGCTATGAGCGGTAGCTAACCTCAGTCCAGCCCTGCTACTGCTGCTTAAAAGAAATATTGCCACATTGAATATGCAGCGCGAAGAGGACAACGAAGAACACGCGCAGCGAGTGAAGAAGACGAGGTTCTCTCCCGATCAGTTTGACAGTATTCTAATACAATTAAAGTGAGTTTCCTGGATTCGACTGCTGCTGTTTCTGCATTGTGACACTAGTGGAGGTGCTGGGTACATGTTCGGGACGCCTGACAACAGCCCCGCATCTGGTCAAGAAAGACTTCCGCGCATCGACACCCCCGTTCACCACAGCAGCCGGCGCCTGTTAGGCCTCAGCCCGGAGTTTGGTCCATTGCCGGAAAGCGTGACTGTGCCAGAAAGCATGACGGCGCCTGGAAGCACTGGCCCCAACATGTCCAGCCCCAGCACGACACAGGTGACTGTTTTGAACCCTCGACTTCCGCCGGACTTCCACGGAAACGCATATGAGGATGCACATGACTGGCTCGAGGAATTCGAGCACACAGCGAATGTTAACGGTTGGAACACCACACAGAAATTGGGCTACGTTTATTTTCCGCTTCAAGACGGAGCCCGAACGTGGTTCACGAATCGCGTGTGGTCGTCTTGGGACGAGTTCCGGCAGAAGTTTCTCGACACGTTCGCGAGCACTGAAAGACGAGAAATCGCACAGCGTCTCCTCGAATCACGGATTCAGAAACCAAATGAAT